AGAGAGAGAGAGAGAGAGAGACACGTATTTTTTTATACGTACGCTAACTCATGCTTTAACTTCGTTAAAAATTAAGGATATATTTATTTGTTTAAGAGTCACCGTTTATACATTTTTAAAAAATTAGTTATAAACATATTTTACAGAAAAAAAAAGTAAAACAAGATGAAACATTTTTGTAACACCGCTGTTGGTGTCATGTTTATTTTCCTGCGGTAAGCTCGTTGAACACTAATCTCATGTTTTTGTGATGTTTGGTACATTACATTAGAATGAATTAGCTTGTGCATTCTCGACCGTGCTAATCGCATTATTTTGTTTTTCAAAATCTGGTGACCACGCAACTAATACAAATGCGATAGTCTTGCAACGATAATTGATTCTAAATTCTAATGACATTGCTAATGCACAAATCAAACGGGAATTAAATGGATATATGTACGGGTAAGCTGCAAGCTCTATCATTAGCGTGAAATACGGATATTGCAACTCGATTTAAATAGATATGTGTATGTCGATTTAATAGATATGTATATAAAATGAAAGTTTTATGATTTTATTCGCAGTCTAGATAAATTAAGAGAGACAATTTCTTGTAAATATATTTTTATTAAATATTAAATATGAAAATTATTTGTCCTCCCAGTTATCGAAATGGGTTTTGTTGAATATATAAAATTTAAAAATATAGATTAAAATAATAGACAAATTAATAATATTAAAAATGCCTGTAAAGAATCAACGGGATCTTACTTGTTAGTGTGTAAATGAAATTTATTAGAATGTTAACACAAAAGAAATAGTAAACGTTTCGACTTAACATTTTCGACCGTAAGTTTTGAGATCATCGTATCTTGAAGAATCAATCCCGAATTACCACCGATATCTATACTCTAGTTAATACATTTACTACCTCACTTCATACAGATTAAATACATTTGATTATGACCTTTATCTTTATATATTTAATTTGTTAATTAAAATTGTCACTAAAATTGTACTGAGGATGACCTAAAAAATTAAAGTTTTAAACGTTTACTATTTCTTTCACGTTAACATTCTAATAAATTGCGTTTACTAAGATTCTGTGTCGGCTCTTTTATTTTTAATATTATCAATTTATCTAATTTAATTTTATTTCTTTTAGTATTATTAATTAAAAAAATAATTTTAACTTATTTTAGAAAATGGAACATAAATGGTGTGTGTGTGTGTGTGTGTGTGTCTCACATATGCAAAAATATTATATATAATATTACTACATAAATGTAAAGAAAAATGTATAAAATTTATATTTCGAACTACTATAGTATCTATTATTGCATGTACGGCAAATTGTAAACGAGTATATTTGAATATATCGCTTGGAGCAATTAAAAAGTTAATTTCTGGTATTACACAAACCGTAGGTTAACGCTTGTAAAAAAGCGACCCAGAAATTTTACGTTTGCCATTCCCAGTTCGAATGTCACCGGTCTTTTATACGTTCGAGAAATCGGCGCTTGGCATGGCGATTCCGAGTTGTGTATCGATGGATAATAAAACCCCGGATATTAGATACGTGTTTCTTTTCGCAATGGCGGTCGACGTAACGTTAATTTGGCATCGTGAAAACGCGCTTTTCTCCAACCGACTTTAATAACGGCATCCAAGGCACGACGTGCATAGCGTACGTCTCGATTTTGTAGACGTGCATGAAGGGCGGTTTTTCGCTGTAAATATTGCGTGGTCAAATTGTACGATAATGCACAACAGCTTGGTTCGGAAAACACGACCCTCGACCTCTGTCTGGCTGTCCCGTAAATTCTCGCATTGCCTAAGGGCAAAAGTTTCATGATACGCGCAGATTGCTACATATAGTTGTCGAAAGCCACGACTGTAATTTTCTGTGATTTTGTATCGTCGATTAGAATACGCTATTTCGCTAACAGCTATCTCTTAATCATCGACGTTAAACATGGCTTGCTTTATGATCCACGTCCATCAGTTGTATTTATTTCGTTTTGTTTCACATTTTCTCGCGTTTATTATATTTTTACAGAGAATAGTTGTAATACGTAGTAGAGAAATTATTTAAAATCATGTTATCTTTTTTTATTTATACATAATATAATTACACATATATAATTAATAATTATATAGGTATACATTTAATTCATGCTGTCAAGTTGCACGTTATGTTGTCAAAAAAGTATTTATAATATCCGTTGATTAATCATTTTAAATTGTAGCACTTTTTCCTCTCAAGAGGTCATCAAAATTAAATTCAGTTACTAAACACGTAATTCTATGTTTTTTACTTTGAGTGTACATTATAAAATTTATGATTGTTCTACATATTCTTAATTGTTAAAATTATTTTCGATAAGTTTACGCAGAGTTCGCTGATTTTTCATCTTTCTCCACATTCGCGCGCTACTTCTTCCGAATTTCCAAACATTACCGATAAGTTATCGCGAATTCTGTGCTCGGCGAGCTGCAAGCTCGTACGATTACGATCCTCTGGCGCGTTCTAAAAAATTGCAATGGCAACAGTAACGTAGCGCGAACCGATATATTGCGAATACATTGCGCTCGCTCAACCGTTACGTGTATTCGCTTGCGCGTGATGCAAAACACTTTTGGCGAATATCCATAATTCGCGAGTCATCCACCGTCCTGAAAGTTAAGCGGTGTTGTTTGGAAAATCGTACAACCAGCTTGCGTGGCCGAACTGGAATTCGATTTGTGTGAATTCCAGTTGAATTTCGAGCAACGCTGCTACAGAACGGTTGCAACAATGCCGTCTGTTTTGTGTTGTGACTGTATAGTCGTACATATTAACGACACTCGGTATTTATATGCAAGGATCAAATTTCCCGTGCGACACTTAAAATTTATGTTTTTCCAACGCAATTAAATCGTAATTAATCTTAGCATAACTGCTTCATACTACAAAGAATAAAAAGATTTGTTTAACTCGCGTGTCTCTCACGCAGTGCTTTTGTGAATGCACTCAGATACCATTACTGTATGCGTCCGACCGCATACGTGTAATCTCGTGTGGCAAATGTGACGCGTTGCAGGAATGTGGCGAATAATTAAGATCGTGTCTCTAAATATTTAAGATATCTATTTGTCCATCACGAGTCGCGTCCGCGTTTCACCGCGAATTGTATGTTAATCTAAAGCGAAATTTTCAGCAAGTGGAAATTCGAGCTAGTAACTTAGATTTAGTGTAAAAAGTTTAAGACAGAATTTAAATAGAATATGTAAATTAATATTGCAAATAATACAAAGTAAATAAAGATATTTTTTTATCCAAATTGCGTAAATGATTTTTAAAGAATTACCTAGATATCCCTATACGTATTTTAGAAATATATATATATATGTTACATTATAAAATATGAGATATATATTTAAATTAAATTGACGTTATGTGTACAATTTTCTAACATACGCACATCTTGTAACGATTTGTTTGCTGTTAATCCGATTGTAAAATAATTTATTACACGCACCTAATTAGACGACATGCTTTCTACAATCAAAATGTAATGCTTAGATTTAGATGTTAATTTTAACGGTAGTAATAGACTGGATTAATGCGGAAGCGGTGCACGTACGCGACGCCGTCGCGCGCAGAGAACGGAAGCGGGAGGACTGCAATTAGTTCGGCGAGCTGCAGCACTATCGAATCCGCCTGCCTGCGGCCGGCGACATAATTGCAAAAGTTACGCATGTCATAATTTAATTGATACCGGTCGCGTACTTATCTTGATTTCGTAATCGCGAATTTTAAGATCCGTCGTGCAAGCAAATTGGTCAGCTCCTTCTCACCGGAAATACCTATTTCGAATTTTTACTTAATTATCTACTTCACGAAAGACTGCATTCGAAATAATATCATTTATGTCAAGTATGATACCATTTGTTACAAAATCATATACGTATATTATTTTCTTATTTTTTTAATGGTATACGAAAAATATTTTATAAGCATGATTTTACAAAAAAAATTTGCTTTAACCTCCTTGCACAATTAATTAAGAAGTTTATATTTTTAACTCTTTTTAAAGTTTTTTTTTAATAGATTCTAATTAAAAGTTTCTCTATCATCCGTATAAATAAAAATGAATAGAAACATTAAATTTAATTTCTCTGAAAATTCTCCACCATGAATAAAAGTTATACTTAATCTAAATTAATTTAAAAAATATACCATGCAATATGAAATATAAACATTTATATTTTATAATTCAGTTAGAAACCATGCGTACCACGCACCTGGCTTCTAATATTATTTACTTAAATGTAAAGAGAGATGGATAGTTGAATGTTTGGATTTCTCAGAGCGAAAAGATTTTCTCGACTCGAAGATTCCTCTCGATTCGATCGTATAGAAGGAAAAAGAAGAAGGAGAAAGCAGACATAAACTAACACGCTCTGCGGTGCATAGAAACCGCACGGCTATAACCGAGTCTGCAAGATTACAGCTTGAGTGACACAAGATGGTGTTTACGTCTGTGGTTGAGAGTCTTAAAAAGAGGATTTCAGACGTTGCATTAAACCTGTGGGAATGACGCTTGAGGTGAATGGATCGTACACGATAGATCAAATAAGAATGTGTTGTGATATCTACATATATAGTAATGAGAAGCGTTTGCGCTTTTACGCTAGCGTTTTTATTCCATTGATTTGCGATTAAGTAAAAATTTCTTATTTAGCAATTTCTAGATCGAAGATTAAAGGAGGTTACTTCAAAGAGACGTATTACAAATTTTCAATCTTGTAATATTCCGACAAAATTGAAAACTGATAGAATTAATCATTGCCTTCAAGCTCATCTACTGAACCATTTATTAAAATTCTATGTAATATTTAAAATAATATTTTTCATTTTTTCAGCTCGGCTTTACTGTGGCTTGTAAATTGCTACGCATTTGCAACTATGTATTTTTGATTTTAATATAATGCATTATTGCAAAAACTATTTCGAATCAAATATGCACTAAGAGAAGAGTGTAAATAAATTATTTTATTACAATAATCAATTATTCTATTACATAAATCTGCACGTCGATACACAACATATAGGTAAGCTTTAAATTTCATTTCGATAATAAAAAAGTACAATCGTTATTATTTTAAAATCTAGGTTGTTTAATATTTTAAAATATTTTGAAATTCATCCGCGAGATATTACATCATACGAATAATACGTGCTCTGTAAAGAATGTATGGTATTTTACGGCAATATATACCTATACATTTACGCTAAATTAATAATAAAATCTTCGCAATGTTTTCAAATCATTTTGAGTAAAGCCTAATTTACCATACATGTGCTTTTTTACGCAGCAAATAGTGTGCTAATTTTTTAGCGAACTAAAAAATTAGCAGTTAAAGATATAAGTCTACAAAATAAAACCTATATATTTTTATGAGAAAACTACTGCTAAAAAAATAAAATTCATAGAATTATATTTTTCACTAGAAAACTGTGGTTCGCTATAAAACTAGCATACTAATGGATATAGTAGGTACAAAAAATATCGTATGAATCAAAATTTAAGAAATAGGTACTAGCGGAGAACAATTGCTGAAATTACAAATATGGAAAATGTAATGCTAAAGACACATTCTCATAAAAAATCACAACATTACCTGCATGATTTATCCACATAGATATTAAATATTGAAAGTTATATACAAAGATATTTCAAGTGAAAAGTCATAAAAATATCTACAAAAAGAAATCAATCTCATAAAGTAATCAGCAGAAAGTAATCTGATAAAAAATTGAATAAAATATGATAGATACAATTAAAGTAGGACAGTCCATACAGAGAAATGGATATTATATTTAAAAAAAATATGGTCAATAGAAACTTATATACATATAGCTAAGCAAAGAGAAAACTCAATGCTTAACATTCGGCGCTCTAATCCAGGTTGGCATTAAAATCTAATTCAACTCGCTCGGCGTACTCATTATATTTTCGTTTCACCTTTCAGTATGATTTAAATTATATTTCCGTAGCGCCATAATTTATGTACAACGCAGTCCTCTTCGTGGATTTTTACGAAGCTGCATTTCTGTTACGATGCTTGCACGAATGAAAGGTAATTCAATGCGTGTTGCGAGTTCTTCCCGCACGCGAATCTCGAAGTCTCGTCGCACGCGTTTCCGACATTTTTCGACCAAGGCTCTAACGAAAAAAGGATTACCGATTTCATGCCGTACCGAGATACGATTTTTGCGGATGATGGGTGTCCGATACGTTTCGCGTCGATTCACGCATCGTGATCACATGCGCACGTATCTTTGACTTATTGAACTTGATACGACGCGAGCGCAATTTTTCAGGCGAATACGGCGAGTTGTGTGTTACTTTCTGCCCTTGTAATTTCTATCATAAATTCTGACACCGATTTTTCGCATCGAGACACGTCCGATTTTCGCGGTTCTCTCTCTCTCTCTCACTCTCTTCTGTCGCGCACTGCTGCACGGAAAATCGTAAAAGTCTTACGATTTAACACTCACGTCATCCACCGCGCTATTTGTCGTCGTGATTTATTAATCGGCCCAGTGGATCAATATTTCACAAACCGCTCATTTTTCAAAATTTCCGAGTTGCATGTAATTCACTTGCACATTCAAACGTGCACTTGGAGAAGATATTTTCATAACCTTTCATTGGTGACTTTAGGAAGTCAGAATCAGATAGATGTATACTAATTATATTAATTTAAAATCATCCTGTTTTAGAAAAAGAGGATTATATTGCAAAATATGCATAAAGATATATATAATCTCAATAAATATGGAAAATATCAAATCTCAAAGCAATAAAATAAAAAAAGTCAGACTAAAAACAGGCAGTATGGAATTTTCACGATTTGATATATTTAAATGTTCCATCATCGAGCAAAATTATTTGTATAATAATCGATGATGAATGCAAAGAGAGGTATAAAAACATTTCAATCAAGCGAGCAATTTTTTACCGAGCAACCGTAAATCGCGCTATTAAAATTTCGATGGACAGTCGCGTTAAAAATCCTGAAAAAAATATGCATAAACCACGTTACTAGGGCAACAATGCCGAAGAGCACATGTATAAAAATGTAAAAACACGCTTTTGTAACCCAAAGCGATACGAGCCAATATACAGTCCGTTGTATATTCGACACTCGGCGGGGCTTAACGCATCAACCAACATACCACCAAACAACGACACAAAATATTAAACGGCCGACTTGCGCTCGCGCTTGCCGAGTAAAACGTACTAACGACGCGTAAAAATCCGGACGATGAATAACAATACCGTCAGGAATATGCAGCGGCAGGACAGCTTACCCGTAAAAACGCGGAATAGACTTAGCGTGCGATGTGAAAAACGCGATCCTTTTGCCAGGGGAAAAGCCAGATATTCGTATCCGGACATGCGTATCATACAGCGAGTAATAGAATGTCACGTATCAGCATCGGTATAATGATATTTTTATATTTCTGTCATTCGGCTTACGTTCGCATCAATTAATCACGTAAAGCATGTGACCGTGAAGAGACGATGTTGTCTATCAGACAAATGCAGCGTATAAAATGACGGAAACGTCAATACTCAAATGAGAGCAAGCACGAGAGAGAGAAAGATAGAGAAAGCCAACCGTTTCGTTGAATCAACAAAATAATTCGATACATTGTGCGTATAGATCGTAAATCGTGCCATCGCGTGACGTCATTGACAGTTACACCGTTCGCTAACCGATATTTCATGTACCGCGAATCCTGACAAGCGGAGATCTCATCACGCTTGTACATGCACCGCGGATTCGCAAGAAAACAGATATATAGAATCAGCAGGATGAACAAAATTAAAGTTATTTGTCTCTGATTTTTATAAGTGTCGGACGTTTCGTGAATGCATATCAAAATTAATGTTAATTTAATAATCCTTTTTTTATTAGAAAATATATATTACTTATTGCGTTTCTTCCTGAAATTCTTTTCTAATAATTTTTTCCTAATTTCCATCAGACAAAATTTCATGATTTTCCCCGACTTTCAATAATATTTAAAAATTTTTTTATATTTTCATCCTGATTTGGAAATCATTAAATATTTCGTTGAGAGATCAATTTAACATAACATTGTAAATTACTATTAATATTGCTTGCATTGATTGTATTTTTAATTGTTAGGTTGGTAATATTCCAAAACTACATAATGTAGAGTAAGGTCACCGATACTGATATAGGTCTCCTAAAAAAAGTGACAACTCTTATTTCTTAGAAACTAACCTTTGTACCTTATTAATACTAATAAAAACGTGATCTGTTTAGCTAATTAAAGAACTACAAACTCATAATTTTTTTTTTCATATATTTGTGGCTTGTTTCTATATCAAATCAGTTAAAAACAAATTCTATGAATCCGAAAAGAAAATTTTTACGGTGTTCTTTTGCAAATTGCGTAATTAAAATAATAGTGACTGTATTACTGATAATTATGTCATTTTAAATGTTTATAGTTTCATAAATTAGTTTTCTTTACAGAATAGGATATATCTTTATTTATAGAACAGGAATGTTGGCATTATTGCCTACTATGTTAGTTTTGGAGCCCATTTTGTCAGACGTTCATTTTTGCATAACTTACGAAAAATTTAATTATTGCAAAATTGCAAACAGTATTATAAAAACTGCTTACCCTATCTGATAGAAGACATTTTTTAGTTTGTATTTATAGTATGTATTTTGAAGTTGTATTTTTACCTTTTGTTTAAGAAATAATGTCTAAAAACAAGGTGGTATGTCGGTATCGATAATCTTCCTCTACATATTGTATATTAAATTTCTTTAATGCCAAGAATTTCAAGCCAATTTTCCAAAATTTTACAAAATTTCATATTTTTTCTCTGATTTCCCTGACTGTTTTCAATTTTCCTAACAATTCCTTGATTTCTGTGATTTCTAGTTTTGTGGCAACCCTCTTGCAATACGATTTTAAAATATTAAAAATTTCTTAATTTTCTGTTATATGGTTTTTACAAAAAAGAAACGATGTTGTATCAACAGCATTTATTTTAATTGAAAATAATTTTGTTAATTCATAATAACATCATTAATGAAACAAATATTTAAGTTCTTGTTTTAATAAAATTTTATTTTTTCATTAATATTGTTATATAAATCAACAAGATTATTTTCAATTAAAATAATGCTGTTGAAATAATATTATTTTTTTTCAGTGTATGCCATTAAAAGAAATTAAAACAAGCTCTTTTTTATGATTCTAATATACCTGGACATTTTGCGTCTGAATGTTACGCTCAGTTCAGTTTTTATTTTGCTTTGATTCGCTGTGCCATCCACGTGTTTTGCACATACCGGTTAGGTTTGACTTGTTCCACTTTCCCCGATGTCGGGGCGATACTTGATTCGTTCTACTGTGCCTTGCACGTTTCTTATGCTCTTGTCGTTTATGAGGCAAGACCTATTTTACATTTAATCTCTTGTACACGGCAGCCACGTTACGAAAAGTCAATATTGTGTTTTAAAAACGAATATACATAAATCACTCTCAATTCAACGGATCTTTCGTAAAAACTTCATCTATTGATATCACATACGTAGATCTATTCTAGAATTACTAAGTATAATAATTCATTTATAACGTGAATAATAATCAATATATATGTAAATATTGGCTTTCTCGCCTGGTAAAATTAATAGTTAATTATTAATAATAATTAATAATTCCAATTTTAATTAATAATTTACATTTTTATGTTAACATTAATATTTTTTTTTATTTGATTGAGTACAATTTCTGTTACGGGATGAACAATTTTAGGGAATATCGATAATTAATCAATTCTTTTTTCACCATGTATTTCCAAGGCGGATTCATAAAAATTACGTTTCCGTGTTTCACGTAAAATTTTACAGAACGAGATATTGCCATTGGCAAGAACGGAAAACATTCGAATGTTAAACGATGAGGATATATCGTCGAAGCTGGAACGTATAAAAAATTGGATCTCGAACATGTGTCTCGACTTGTTACTCGATTTTCATCGACAGTGCAATAATTTCGAATAATATCAGCGACAAATGTGCGAATGTATATCCTCAGCGTATCGCCAAGGGCGTATTACATATACAAGCTACCGGTATAAAAATTTTAATGAGCAACGGCCATTTTCTTGCACATCTGAGAGAATGGTGTTCTTTTCGAGGCAGTTTTATGGCGGCGATAAATTTTCGTTTTCGGTGCTCCTGATAAATCGTACGCATTGCGCGAAGTATGTTTTTGATATTCTGAGGCGTGCGATCCCGGTAATGGAGTTACACGCGGATACATGGGCAGCATACACGCGCGCATGATGTACTGGGAACGATGTGTCGGGCTGTCGGTAGGTTGTATCATAGTATTAGTAACAACAATAGGTTCACTCCCGTGGTTTTGATCTAAGCGTGGCTCACAATCGGTTTTATTATTGATTATGCGTGGATTTTCATTTGAATAGTAGAAACTAACAATGTGTAGTGAATATATATATATATGTATATACAGGGTGTAAAAAAATTAGACCGACAAACTTTGAGGATAAATAGGGGACATAAAAACAAACATATTTTGTTAATAACGTTTTCCTCTACGACGCTTCGTTTTAATACTACAGGGTCCAAAATAGGAATTTTACATTTTAACATTAAATGTTAAACAAGGACAGATGATGAATCCGAGGCATCGGGGGGGAAGCATCCGAGCGACGTTTCCGAACGCAGCCATTAACTCGTGGAAAACTAGATGAGGCCCATATGGTGCCGCAGGTCGTAATTTCCACCCGGGTATGAGCCAATTATATACTCGTATAATATTAAATTACTTATTTTATAGAACTTTCTTCGTATTTTATGTATAGCACATAGAAAGGATAGTTTTGCTGAAATATCTAAAAATTTAGTTAGATACAGGTTTGAAAATAATTTTGTTGGATTATCAAAATAATTACGTAGGAAACTCAAGCAATGCTGCAAAAAGTTTTAAAATTGAAAACCTGTTTGAAACTTCAGCAAAATCGTTCTTTCCGTTCAGTCTTTAATACATATAATACGAAATATCCGATTTGCTATAAAATATAGCTAATCTGATTTAATCTTTTTTTCAATCTTTAATTTTACGTTATTCACTACTTTTACTTTATCCTATTTCTCAGTTGCGACGAAAGCTGTGTTTTATATATTTATAACAGATGGTAATGAACTAATTATAATATAACATAACTATATATCGCCATGTTGTTGGTTATACGATTTGTACATGTGTACATGTGTGTGTGCGTGTGTGCGTGCGTGCGTGTGTGTGTGTGTGTGTGTGTGTGTGTGTGTGTGTGTGTGTGTGTGTGTGTGTGTGTGTGTGTGTGTGTACGCGAGAATATTAATCACATTTAGAGGAGTGAATCTACTGTTTCTATTTATACTGTGATTGCGTGCGTAAGATTTCATCGTGATGAAATACAGTGCTCTTTCAAATTATCAATGGCGCGGCGAACGTTCCACTCGTCGCGTCAGTTCAAAATTCTCGGTCGATTTTGTGCTCTTTTCTACAGCCATAGCAGTCAGGTACCATCGTGCGAGCTATGGAACTTTTAACGCTACGTGTCAATTTTTCACAAAGGTGGAATAAAATACGTTTGCCAAGTTTGGACCGATATATCTCGGGATGTCCTGTATATATGTATACAGTTTCCGATATATGTACATAATACACGGAAGTCTAAAAGAAAGTTGCGAGATATTCAAACAATTTTCTATGTTATTATTGATACGGCATGATCATTTAAAAATCATAGTTCGAGAATGTGATTAAGTGTTTAGTATATTCGTATTCATTCTTTTCCATGACACAAAGAAATTGCAAAAAATAAAAAAATATTTTTTCAGAATTTTATTAATTTTCTTAAAACTTCTTTGAGTTCAAAATTTGCGTATATAATATAACCGGACCCTATGTGACTCTAGTACCCAATATACTATATTCGCTGTTTGTGAAAAATTACACTATGAATTTAAAATAAGTCATGTAACTGTCCGTCTGACTTGACTGCATCAGTTTATTGCCCAATTTGTTCATTCTGTTATTGTCAAAATGCAGAATGTTGTGGTCGTGATGTAATATTTCGTATAGGGAAGTAAAATTGCTCTTTATAACTAACAAGAAATGATTATTAATTTTTGTAATTCGTATTATTATAAAGATGGAGATTATTGTAAAGATAGAGACATGTACATAATAATCCAAGCAGAATTTAAAATATAACTATTCTTGTAGACAAAGAAAATCATAGAGTCTATACGTTAATTATAGAATTGAGAGATATAACAATTTTGTTCTATGTATTAAAGTTTCATTCTAATATATAATTTTTTCACTATCTCATTTAATGTGCACGGGATTTTTCGGTATAATCAAACAATTCGACTACTTCTTTCCCGATAATCAGAAAATAAAAGTAATACACAGTTGAGAGGGGGATTGTGTCGTATATAACACATTTCATGTGTTCCAAACGATCCTCAAATTTTTGTGTTCATTTAATATACGATGAATATATTAGAAAGCAATATAGATATTGTAAAAAAATGGTCACAAAAAAAAAGATAACGCTTGTAAACCACAACTGTAAGTACATTTTTTTAATTATAATTAACATTTATGATATGTTAAATTAACACATACAACATTCATTCATCGTAGAATTTACGTTTTAAAACACATTATTTTTATGTTTATGCTTGTTGACTTGCTCATAAATTATGTCATTTTGATACTAAGAAACATTGAATATCAATTCAACATAAAATCTTTAAATAACAATCACATTATATAATATTATTTAAGTTAAATTAACACTCGAATATATTTAAAAAATATTTAACACTAATGATTAACAAGAATATGAATGGACCGTTTCCAACACAAATATATTATACAATGTTTTTTATGGCGTAGTATATTAATTGTTTAGAATAAAACAACTATAGATATTGAATTATATGTATAGAAGGTAAAAGTATGGTTTTCTAATTTGTCTCATATTCAAGAATTAAATAACACCACCAATGTTTAAAAAAGTAACGTAAAATGAAAAAATACATTTTTTTATCCTTATGTGTTACCATTCATTGTATTGTATGGCTCATATGGTCAGCAGTGACATATTAGATGACTAAGGGGATTGACGTTGTAATAACAGACAATTGCTAACATTTCGATGGGAGTGTTTCAACCCAGAATAAAACAAACATCGCACACATTATATGCAATGTAGCTTGATAACTGTTATTCCAATTTGTACGTATATATATGGAGACAGTGTTCCATTTCAAATAAGGTAATCGAGTACGATGTAAAACAAGCAAGATTCGATAAACTGTTTCAAATAAAATCGTGACAGTTTCAAGTCAGAGCTGTGATATATCATCAATGTAACAATGATAATCATTTACTAAATAAAAGAAATAATGAAAAGTAATAAAAAGTCTTTACAAGTTTACAAAATTAATTAAAATCTTTACAAGTTTACAAAAAGTTCTTTTTTACGTTTTGTTCAGCAAAATTTGCTTGTAAAATATTCGTTTGTGACTGAGTAAAGTATTTTATGTCACTTATTATTAAAATTCAACAGAAAATATACAAGAGAATTTAATATCTGATAAAAGAAAACAGTATCGTATACTTATCAAAAGAACCGGGTATACATTATGTGTTAAATCTTACACTCATCTTCCTTTCTCGCTTCTTATTTTCGCGTTTGACAAGAAAATACATTATTTAGATTGTATAATCCGTTTACAAATATTTATTTTCTGCCAGTTACTTTTGCTATTCACTTTTATTTACAAAGTTATACAGTCAATATTTATTTTAAACAATAATAGATCAGAGTTAATCTTTGTGTGAACGAATCTGGCGTGAGTACCATGAGCGAAATGCGTTGTGTAAACTAGCATAACATTTGACTGAACATATAATGTTGCAAAATGTCTAAAAATTAATAAATGCAAAAATACTGTCCATACGTAGAAGGAGTTACAGTGGAATCGGTAATACCATTACGGACGGTACATGAATACCACGTGTTAGAAATGCAGTTTATAATTCCTAGGCAGGCGAGAAGAGAACCGCGAAATACAAGGCATTCCGGAATTCTGCATGTTCCGTGATATTTTCAGCGATATATCCGCGAGTTGTCATCACAGATTAGTAAATCTTTAGTAGGTATCTGTATTCGAATTTAGTATTCGCATATCAAAACTTTTTTACGTTACCAATAATGTAAATGACTCTGAATTTCAACTTTCTCAAATAAAGTAATATTTTCATTTTATCTTTCTTGATTATGATTTTTATTTATGTAAAATAAAAATGAAATAAATAAATCACAAATAACAATATCAGAAGGAATATAATCAAACATTTTATATATAGTAAATGATATACTTACTAAAGTTTTATAACATACGAGATCACTTTAAAAATATATAGGTCTATGTAAACAATGTGTTATATGCATGTACATAAAGGAAAGTTTATTTTTAATATTGATTATATTGAATATATTATATAATAATAGTACACAATCATATTTTAAAAAATACTTAACATTTTTGACAAATTAATAGAATATATTTCATCATAAAAAATTTTGTAAAATGTAAAATTTAAATATTTTTGAAAAATGAGTGTACACATATCTATTATAGAGAGATAGAGAGAGAGAGAGAGAGAGAGAGAGAGAGAAATTTGATAACAAAAACTGAGATATACAGGGTGTCCCGTAAAGACGTGAACAACGCTTAAGGGAAGATTCCTGAGATCATTTTGAGACGAAAATTCTAATATCAAAATATTGAGGCTATAATAATTTTTGAATTATAATTGGTTAAAGATAGTATATAATTCGAAAACTATTATAGCCTCGATATTTTCGTATTAGGATTTTTATCTTAGAATGTTCAAAAGAATCCAGAAATAATAATAGAGGCTATAAAAGTAAAATGGTTTTTTACTTATAAGCATTTAAAGTTAGCTTATAATTCAAAAAATTGTTGTAGCCTCGACATTTTCATATTAAAATTTTCGTCTCAAAATAATCTCAGGAATCTCCTCTTAAGCGTTGTTCGAGTCTCTACGGGATACCCTGTATATATACAGTATTAATAATAATCAAAAAAGAATTTATTAGCAAAAAATCTAAAATATTCGTATAAGACAAATTAGTTTCATAATTAAATTTTTATCATTAATCATTTTATTACTGATTTAAAAACCAACTAATTTTTTGCTTAAAAGCAGCGTAATTAAAATTTTCTGCGGATGTGTTAACAGAATGGCGGGAATGGGTTTAAATGTTTATGCTATGCGTGAAGGGCGTGCTCGTTTGCATACTAGTTGATAAATTGCAATTTGACGTAATAATCCGGGATAATATTGCACAATTATGCAAAAACGTGCGTCACTGCTGATAGCTGTAAATTATGCATGAAAATTAGGGCAATAATTATTCTAGTAGATTTTAACGTTCATTTCCAATAAGCATTATCTTATTAAAAATATAATTTATAGAGATGTATATAATTTATAAAGATTCTGACTCTATAAGTTTAAAGTATACAGTCAACAGATAATAATTAAAATTTGTGAGAAATTCATATCCCGCCGCGGCTATTCTGTTACTAATTAATGAAAAATTTGTGATGCGCGAAATTGTTTTTATTCATATTCAATTCTCTATGTATCTCAAATAACTCTTTATTTGTACACATCGAGTTTTATCGAGTATATACTCAATACTTGTTAAACTGTTTTTTGCTTCTATTGTCAATAGTGTATTATTTTTTCAGAAATATGTAAATTCAATACAAAATATAATATAGGTACTTGTTTTATTGAAATTAACGCAATATTTCTATTAAAATAAGCAACAGATATTATCATGATATAATAATGTAAAATCAAATTAATAAATTATATATATATATATATATTACA